ATATATATATATATATATATATATATATATATATATATATATATATACATACACATACATACATACATACATACATACATACATACATACACACATACACATACACATACATACATACATACATACATACATACATACACTGCTCAAAAAAATAAAGGGAACACAAAAATAAGACATCCTAGATCTGAATGAATGAAATATTCTTATTAAATACTTTGTTCATTACATAGTTGAATGTGCTGACAACAAAATCACACCAAAATTATCAATGGAAATCAAATTTAGCAACCCATGGAGGTCTGGATTTGGAGTTACACTCAAAATTAAAGTGAAAAAAAAAAACACTACAGGCTGATCCAACTTTGATGTAATGTCCTTAAAACAAGTCAAAATGAGGCTCAGTAGTGTGTGTGGCCTCCACATGCCTGTATGACCTCCCTACAACGCCTGGGCATGCTCCTGATGAGGTGGCGGATGGTCTTCTGAGGGATCTCCTCCCACAATTGATGTGCCATCCTGGATGAGCTGCACTACCTGAGCCACTTGTGTGGGTTGCAGACTCCGTCTCATGCTACCACTAGAATGAAAGCACCGCCAGCATTCAAAAGTGACCAAATCATCAGCCAGAAAGCATAGGAACTGAGAAGTGGTCTGTGGTCACCACCTGCAGAACCACTCCTTTATTGGGGATGTCTTGCTAACTGCCTATGCTTTCCACTGTTGTCTATTCCATTTGCACAACAACATGTGAAATTGATTGTCAATCAGTGTTGCTACCTAAATGGACAGTTTGATTTCACAGAAGTGTGATTGACTTGGAGTTACATTGTGTTTAAGTGTTCCCTTTATTTTTTTGAGCAGTGTGTGTGTGTGTGTGTATGTGTGTGTGTGTGTGTGTATAGACACACACACATGCATATCCCACTTATATAACACACACACACAAAGAGAGGGAAGAGAGAGAGGGACATGAACAATATGGGGCCTACTTAACATATTTTTTTATTGTGTCTTGATTGCTTAGAAACTTGGTTTGTTGGCTCTGATCAATGAGGAGAGCCACTTTCCTCAAGCTACTGATAAAACCCTATTGGCAAAGTTACACATTCAGCATGCAGTAAGTAATGTTCTTTTAATTTGTTTATAAATTCCCTGAATTTCAAATGCAGTGCTAATGTAAATTTTGATCGTTAAAATTCTGGGTTTTCACTGAGCAAATCTATTTATTAAGTTAAAATATTTATCTATTAATACTTGAAATTAATAGATCAGGATATGTTTTGTCAATGCATCTTTGATTTACATTTTTCCTGAAAGATTTAGTTTTACACAGTGCCTGTATAGAAATTATGTTTTGGAACAATGTTTAAAAAGTCCAATAATTAAAACGTGGCAGGTTTTTTTTTGAAAAAGTCATCTTTCAAGCAAATTCTGAGAAACATAGTTTGACAGAAGATTTTCCCTTTTTCTATATTTCATTTGTTTATAATTAAACCTATTTGACTTATTTTTGTTATTCTTATTAATAGAACAATCCTTTTTATGTGAAACCAAGAGTTGCTGTCCACAACTTTGGAGTGAAACACTATGCTGGGGAGGTAATCTTTCTTTCCTATGTTTATTGAAATTCTTCCAAACAGTGTTTCAGGAGCAGCTTAGTTTTGTCTTGCAACAATTTACAAATTAAAAGAAGCTTTATGTGAGAGCCAGTTTGGTGTAGTGGTTAGGTGCTGGCTAGAAAGTAAGAGACCAAGTTTGAGTCCTGCCTTAGACAAAAAAGCTTGTTGAGTGACTTTGGACCACTCACTCATTCTCAGCCCAACCAACATCACAGTTGTTGTTGTGAGGAAAATAGGAACAGCAGAAGTATTAGGTATGTTTGCCAACTTCAGTTTTTTATAAAGTAATAATGGTATAAAAAAACTAATAAATAGGTATTTTTCTGTTCTTTATGATAGTTAAAAAATTATTCTTTTTTCACTCTTTCAAACAGGTTCAGTATGATGTAAGAGGAATTTTGGAGAAAAACAGAGACACTTTTAGGGATGATCTTCTGAACTTATTGCGAGAAAGCAGGTATGCCCATAGTATAATTGCAGATCCTGACCTTGTCAAGATGTTGAAAACTAATTTTAGAAGGAAGGGAGTATGGAGAAAATGTAGAATTCAGTCCTAAACTATTTATCTGTCTATCTTTTTATCTCCTAGAATATACTTTGTACATTTGAAAATATTGTATTTCTAAAGAGAAGAACAAATGTTGTAGATTTACAATCATATGAAACTTAGGTTTTTGAATATACTCTGATTAGTCAAATAGATTGTTTTCTCTAAATGTTGGGATGGTGTTAATTTTATGGATAGTTGGCCAATATGTTGCAGGTCAAGGCAGTGGGTTTTTTGCTAAAATGACATTCAAATTCTATTTTAACTATTTTTACCTTTCTCCCAGTTCTCTGTAATAGCATGGCATTTTAAAAGAGTATTCTAAACATGAGAGATACTATAATTTTGACTTAGTGATATTCAGAAGAAACAACCAAATGTTTTTTGATTTAGGGAGTGAGCACATTTTATGAATCCATCTAAAACAATATTTCTATTACATTTCATTGGGCATATATGCTTTTGACATTAAGGTAGAGTTTGAATGTCATTCTAGCAATAATTCACGAGCACTTTCAGAACAAAATTTTGGACAGTGAGAATTTTGGGGTAATATGTAAAAAATTGTTCAGTTTATGAAAAGTAGAACCACTAAAGAAATATTTGGCAAACATAGGTAAATGGATTAGATGTCTAAATGCGTGCAAATATATAAATTAGAGCAAAATGCAATAAAGATAAAAGCTTACATATAAGTTATGTTAAATTAATTCTTAAAGATGCAACCCTAAACTGGAGAGCAAAATGAGTCTCTGATATGCTTTTTATATTTATTGTTTAAGCTTCTTTATTCCTCTGAGTACGGTGGGTTTTCCAAGACAGACAAATGCCAAACAAGATAAACACATAACTATAGCATAATTTGTGAAATAACAGCATGCGAAGAGACTAATATAATGGCAAACACACAAAAGTGTTAAAATAATTTCTTGCAAAGGATCCTAATATCTATAATATAGACTAGGAAGTTATTTTGTATTAGAGTTTGATATTAATAAATTCATGGTTATTAGAATAAATCAAATATTGATCATACACATCCAGAATCTAGATGAATCTTTTATAATTTGTTTTTATCCCATATTTTGCTCTTTAATAGAATATTACACAACATTCTTTACACAAATAGTGTAAAGTACCTTGAGCAGTAGTTCTAATATGGAATGATAACACAACTGTTTTCTAAATTAAACAAAAATACAATTAGTTTTGTTTGTGCCTTTTCCCTCAGAAGCTCAGTACCATACTCAAGAGATTATTGTACTTCAGAGATAGGTAACCCTTTTTCTCCAGATTTTGCTGACTAACCAACTTATAGAAGTTGTCACTATTGGCCTGGACGTTAGTGACAGTTCAGGAATGCCTGGAGAACTTCAGATTCTGCTGTATTTCTGCAATACCAGAATCACCTGAATTGTGAGATGGGCAGCAAATAAATTCGATAAATAAATAAAAATATTTGGTCATCCCATCAACAGGATCAAAGAGGTCTAGTTAGCTTATTAACAGCAGAGACTTGTAGCTTCTTAAAAGCTAACAAAAGTATTATGGAATATGATTTCAACACTATGTGCCTATTCATCAAAATGCTGTAAAGTTAAATCTTTATAGGTACGAGATACACAAAATGTGAGAGATAGTATTTAATGTAATATCACATGACAGGGCAATGGTCTCGTCTAAATGCAGTGTTCTCTGTAATGTGCCAGCAGTCTTTTTCTAGTCATTGCATATTTATCTTGATTCCGCTCTTACATTCAGAGGAAATGATAATGATAGTACCTAAATCTACTTGGTGTCTAATTTTGGATTGTCCGCCGTTTCAAGCAGGCAAGCAGTGGGGAAGCATCAATAAAAAAAGCAGCCATATTTTTTAAAGGAAAGAACAGTCCTTGTATAAAAGGGTCTTTGTTTTCATTATGTATTTAAACATTATTTAAATTCCTGTTTCAGCCTTGATTTCATATATGACCTATTTGAGCATGTTTCAAGCCGCAGCGGTCAAGATACTTTGAAGTGTGGGAGCAAGCATCGGAAGCCCACAGTCAGCTTACAATTTAAGGTTGTTGTTTTTTTCATTTCATGAGTTTTTCCAGACATTGTGTTTTGTAAAATATTGTTGCCTAAATCTCCTATCAAATCATGTTCAGCTAAGAAAAAAAATGTCTTGTTGTCTCCAGCTATGAATATGGATTTTTTTCCAGAATGTTTTCCTGATCATTTAAAATAAAATATTTATTTCTTGGCTGAAACCAGTTGTTCACTGTTTGTTTTCCTACTTGGTTTGATGCCATACATAATCATCAATAGCCTTCCTTCTAAGTGTAAGCCTGCCATATAGGTAAAGCAGACTTTTTTAGGTTTATCTCTTGATAAAGCAAAACCTGATATTTTACTCTTGGCAACTTCTATGGGCAAATGTACTCTGCATAAAAAAAAATCTCTGTCCTTGAGACTCAGGAGCAATTTAAAATTGTTTTCCACTGTAAATTTGATAAATGAGAATTGATTTAAATATTTAACATATTCAGTTCTGAGTTTTAAGGCCATTGACACCGCTCACTAGATAAGGATAAGCTCATTACGCATAGTGTAGCAAAATTGATTTTATCTATCTGATGATTAATTTTACTTTGTCATAGAGCTTATTTTAAATAAAAGTATAAGAAAATTATAGTTCAGTTTGCACACTGTGCCACCAGGTGATGCTGTTGTGATTATTAGGAAAACTTTGCTGAGATAGTTTGGAAATTTAACACTTCCTTTGCTTCTTTCTTTCTCTCTCTCTCTCTCCCTTTTTTTTAGGATTCGCTGCATTCCTTAATGGCAACATTAAGCACATCTAACCCTTTCTTTGTTCGCTGTATCAAGCCAAATATGCAAAAGGTAAGCTTAAGATTGCATTTACCTTGGTTCATTCACCATGTATCTATAGATTGCTATCATAGATACAAATCATATCTTCAGGGACTGTTTTTGCAATTAGAAAGGTAGTACTTTATTCTAATACATTACATATTGTTTAAAAAGCATCTATAACAGTTTCTTTTATCTAAAATATTTATCTACTGGTGTGTTTCAAAGCTGTGTTCACTCTAAAGGTTATATACATTAATAGAATCTAACAAGCAACTGATCAATAATTGGCAAAAATAATTTATCTTTATAAAGAAAGTACATAATTTTGTAGTCTATATTAGGTGATCTTATAAGACAGACGTTAGAAAACACTTCCAGAAATGTTTAAATCAGAAGTAACCTCTATTGAGTTTAATGCACATTATTTCAGATTGTGTGTGTGTGTGTGAGTGTGTGTGTGTGTACCAGTTTCCAATAAGCAAAGTAAGTGGGGAAAATAGCAGGAAATCACAAGTTGTGGTCATATGATGTGCTTAACAACCGCAAGTGATTTGCTTAATCCCAGCCAAAACTAATTTTGTAAACTTAGTGTGGTCACATGATGTTTTACTTTATAACTGTGTTATTTAGTAATGGAATTGCTGGTTCCAATTGCAGTTGGTAAGTGAGGACTTCCTGCATATGATTCCAGTCAGAATGTAGCAGTTATTAAAGCAACCTTTAATAAAGCAACTTAGAACTAAGGAGAAATTTCCTGACAGAACAATTAATCAGTGGAACAACTTGCCTCCAGAAGTTGTGAATGCTCCAACGCTGGAAGTTTTTAAGAAGAGATTGTATAATCATTTGTCTGAAGTGATGTAGGGTTTCCTGCCGAAACAGGGTTGGACTAGAAGACCTCCAAGGTCCCTTCCAACTCTGTTATTCTATTCTAATGTACAGGTTTTTTATTAATTTTCAAATAATATACAAATAATATATGTTTACGTTATAATATCTGGGCTTCAAAACTGAGACCAACATTAGATGGAAGCAAATAGAAGATTTTTTTATACCCCTCATTCTTTCCAGGGTCATCTTGATTTTTTTTCAGCCCAGATATTCAGGCCATATATATGTTTGTATAAATACTTAAGGATTCTTTTGTACAGAGGAATTGTAATCATATGAATATGTACCTATATATGTAAATGATTCAGAGATCATTCTAGAACAAATGAAATACCTTTGTGATTTTTTTAGGAAAATGCCACTGTAGTTTTTCTAGAAATTATTATTTTTAAACCTTTTTGCTAAATTGCCATATTTAATACTATTGATTACAATTGTTTGTTGTTGTTTACATTGAGACCAATGTTTTCCAAATACAAAAATTTAAAAAGTATGGGAAAACTAGAAGAGCAAAAATATTACATTTTCCTTTCTCCAAATCTGTGATTTCTAAATTTAAAATTTATTTCTTACAGAATAAACAGTTGCATTTCCCTAAAGGTCATAGGATCTGTAGTGGGAAGGTCAGTTTTTGAGAAGGTAACAGACATGGTTTCAGAACTATTGATATAAATTATTCTTACTTACCTTGAGCTTAATGTCAGCTGTTGAATCCTGATTTTGGATTATTACTTTCCTGGACTCTTCCTAATTATACATAGTTCTATTCATTTCTCAGTTCAGTTGTTTTCAAGTTTTTTTCTTTCAGTACATAAGCCTTTGCCCAACTATTATGGTCAGAATAATGAACAATGAATCAGAGCACTGCAAATAAAGTTTCATTTATTCTAATAAATGAATTTATCAGATGAACACTATAAATATCTCGAGGAAAGTAATGTTTTCTGCTCTCATTTTTTTTTCTGAAAAGAAAAATCACTACAGGAAATGATAAGAAAAACTCTCCCTCTGGGCTTAGAATGGATGACAGATGCAAGGCTTAATAGGAAGGAGGCCATGGTGGGATATGCCATTTGTGATAATTGTTTACCTAATCTAAAGGAAACAAGGCTATATAGCAGGAGTAGGGATAGATTGGATTCCAGGGGTCCCAGTTTGTTGAATTTGGCTCTCAATATTTTTAAATGGAGAAATACTGTGTGTTAAGGCAAAAAAGAATGATGGAAAGGTTGGCTAGTTGTCAAGACAGGATCTAAACTATACTGGTACCATTGTCATGTATTACCAGTATATCAAGTTTAACTAACATTTGACATTTACCTTTCAAGATGATTCATATGTAAGGTCAAAGCTTTTATGAAGAATCACATTCTTAAACATATTAGAGATCATTTACGGACAGTAAAGGACACACGAGAAGAATTCTACTTTCCTTTTCCTCAAATACATGAGAGAGATTGTGATGAATGCTTAATTGTTGTTGCTATTGTTATGCATAGTTTTCTACTATCAGCATGTTTTAAAAATAGTCATCCTATTTCCATTATTATATAGGCAATATCAATATTCTTTCTTAGGATGGTATCAATATTCTTTCTTGGAGATAGAGTATATAATCTTGTGTTATAAAGATTTGCTGAAAAAACCCTCCCCAAAACATTCCAGCTGTGGTTACATATGAATATTTTGACTGAATTATGCTTTAATTGTAGCAATAGCAGTACTACTTAGATTTATATACCACTCCATCATGCTTTACAGCACTCTCTAAGCGGTTTCCAAATGTCAGCATATTGTCCCCAATAATCTGGGTCATTTTACCAACTTTGGAAGGATGGAAAACTGAGTTAACCTTGAGCTCTCTCAGGATTGAACTCTAGGCTGTGGGCAGAATTTGCCTGCAATACTGTATTCTAACCACAGCGCCACCATGATACTTATAACTATAGTGAAACTGTATATATGAAATCAATTATTGTATTTATTTAATCACAGCTTGTGGAGTGTGGATGTTATAATCTGAAACTAAAAAATGCAAACTTTTCCTTCCCTGTTGTTAGATATGAGAAAGCACAAGAACATGAGCCTTAGTAATAGGAAGGATGGGAGCCAGTTTGGTATAGTGGTTAAGGTACCAGACAAGAAAACAGAAGTCCATGAATTCCTGACCCACCTTAAGGTGGGTAACCATGAGCCAGTCACTGTCTCTCAGCCCTAGAAAGCAAGCAATGTCAAACCACTTCTGAAATCTTGCCAAAAAATGGCTGGGACTTATCCGGGCAGTTTCCAGGAATTAACAGTGATTTGAAGCCCCCCACCCCAAAGAATAATTTACATTGCGGGCAAATAAGTTATTATGTACTGTATGATAGGCTATATTTCATCTCTGCTATTCTGTGTTGTGAATTCATGATGTGCATCTTTCAAAAGCAGTCTGTAATATATACCAAGGATGGGGAAATGTACAATATGATAATGTAAAGGTGGGTAAATAATCTTACATGTATTGTGCTTGATGTACCCAATGCACAGATACCATTTGTACATATAATGTAGTATAGTAATGTACTATAGCAGAGGTGTCAAACCGATTTCATTGAGGGACGCATCAGGGTTGTGTTCAACCTCAGAGGGCCGGGGTGGGTGTGGCCAGAATGGGCATGGCCAGCTCAACATCGCTTGTGTCAGGGGCGCCTATGGCGGCCTGAGCACTCTGCCAGCAAAAATGGGCTCCCGAGCTCCATTTTCGGCTGGGACGGCCTCCTGCAACCCTCTGCCAGTGAAAACAGAACTTAGAAGCCCATTTTCACTGGCAGAAGTACCGCGGGCCAATTCTTTGCTATTTCCAGGGTGGCCCCATGGGCCAGATCTAAGCACCCCATCTAAGCACTCCGGCCCGTGCCTTGAGTTTGACACCCCTGTACTATAGTGTCTTCTTTAACAAAAAGGCTTGCTGGTACTGATAGGTTACCAAAAGTGTTTATTAACAAAGGTCTGCAAACTATATGATGTTCTGTAAAGTCTGAAATTGTATGAATCACAACAATGTGTTCAAAATTAATAGACATTCAAGTTTATGAAAACTGATAAACAGATACAGTATATTATTTTCTGAAAAGTCAAATAGCAATGCTCTGTAGAATAAATATTTTACAGTGAAATAAGAGAATAATTATTTGCATATGAATGTATAATCTTTGCATATAATACATGGAATTTATTATATACACCAAAGTGTTAAATTATATTGACAATCAGGAAGCATGACATGACCAGATTTGTTCTTATCGGGACTTCTCAGTTGTGGGGAAAAGGAGACAGCTGAATGAAGTGAGTATGTGCAATGTGTGCATTGTTTCCTTCTGCTCACAAACTTCTGAAGTACATATGTAATTGTGCTGCACCGCGAAGCATTTTTACTAAAGAATCAGGAGTAGGAAACATCAATTGGAGAAACAGGTATATACTTGGAGAAGGAATGGAACCACACTTCTGTATGGTCTTATAGTATATATCCTTCCAAGAAAAAGAATGTGTTTGGTTATGTATTCACACACAGAAACCTCTCTGTTGGGATAATGCTTCCATTTGCATCCTGGAAAATGTAAAATCTGATTAAATCAGTTTAGACAAATATTGTACTGCCTTTTCCTCCCCCCCCAACTCCCCATTTTTAGATGGTTGGGTATGCCCTCCTTGCTTCTGTCCACATGCAGATTATGTGATTTGGATGCAAGAGACAAAGGAAGTACAGGAAATTTTAGTAGCCATCAAGATCTTGGAGAAATATTTTCAGCTGCCTGTCAGTTGCTGGAACAGAGTTGACTTCAAAATTAAATTATGAAAGCTCTAAGGGACTAATAAGAACAAGAAGATTGAGTAACATTTTTTAACTTGATAAGGATCTATTTGAAAAATTCCAAGCATAGTGACCAATTGAAGTATTTTGACCTTAACTGAACCTGAAGTCTATAATCCTTACAATGTGCAGTAACTTTTGGTCATTTAATTTAAGGTAATTTTATTAGAACTGTATATTTTTTAAATTAGGTATTAGGAAAATGCATATGACTCCATCATGAACAACTTACATGAAAACATTTTGTGGGTTTGACATATATCTGTTCTCTAGAATA